TATATATATATCATATATGTGATATATACATATGATACATATCTACATATCGGTTGTTCCCGTTAATTACATCGGCACGACGATGACTCCCACATTATTTATCGGTGTTACCAGCCAAAGTTATTAAAACGCATTCTATATATCTCGTTTTGATTTATCGACTCGTCGAGGGGGAGAGAGAGAGAGAGAGAGAGAGAGAGAGAAAGAAAGAAAGAGATATATCTGATGTGTTTCCATCGATTATTTTTCTATGAATATACTATTACTTACTTATATACTAACTACGAGAAGAAGAAGAATACCATTTGCATACCAATCGTCATGTTCATTTTTTCGCTCTTTTTTGTACCATTTTCTTTTTCTTTCTCTCTCTTTCTCTCTCTCTCTCTCTCTCTCTCTCTTTTTTTCTATCGCACATTATTAATAATATGTATTTTTTTTCTTTTTTTCTAAGAGATATACTGATGATTGCAACAAACTGTTTATCCTGTTTTTTATTTGCATATATTTTTTTCTTCTTATTATTACTCTTTATAGAATAGAGACAGACAATCGACAATTTGTTACGTAAAAGAATTCTCAATATCTCTCTCTTTCTCCCTCTTTCTCTCTCTCTCTCTCTCTCTCTCTCTCTTTCGCATAATTCGAAAGAGAATAAATATATTTCTTATTATATAAGCGTTTACTTTGTCTTTTATTTTATCGTTCGACGCGTATGTCTCTGTAGAATACGAATCTTCGTATATACGTATGTATTATATATATATATACGACATATGTAAAATATACATATATTTATATAGTATAATTCTATATACTCTCGGAACACGTGGTTACTCGTGGGCGTAACAAGTGGTCAATATCGTTTTGTTTCAACAAGGAGTTTTACATCGAGGTAATACCGGCGTTATTTCGTCTTAACGTTAAAATAACTTACACTCGTACGTTTCGTTGTAATAATCATGGTGCACGTCGAAGACCATCGTCCTATCTATCTGTCATTCTTTGTAATGATCTTACATCTAACAACTTTACAACGTGGTTAACGCGGACCACTTCAAATTTCATTCATTCATTCATTCATTAGGATTCATAATCGATTATAATTCTTCTCATTCGATAATCGGATTAACTTTTGAAATCATTCTTTTTAATAAACTTACATCTTCTAACGTTGCAATAAATTAACGTAATCGTTAACGCGATTAATTCTAATTATGCGACGATACTCGTTCGAGATAATTGGTTATCATTGGTAAATGATTAAATAAAAATTGTTACTTTTTGTTGTTGTCGTTGTCGATGCTCAAAACTTTTCAATCTACACTCGTAATATTAACTACCCCCACCCACCAATTTATTATTTGTTAAAAGGAAACTAATATCTGATAAAATGAATAGATAGAAGATAGGAAGAAAAGTAAAAGAAAGAGAGGGGGGGGGCAGGGGAAAAATGTACTTATATTATTATTTTTGTCTATCGTAGAGGTAGAACAGCTCGCTCGTTCGTCGAGTATCGTGATTCAATCCGGCATATATAATGGGTATAACATTCCGCAGAATTCCATTATGTTAACGCAACCACGTTCCAATTCTCTGGGCATGCCTGTTCGCGTATCGTAATGCGTGCGTTACTAGTAGTATATCGCAACTATTCGCGGTACAGGATCGTGCTCGCGAGCGCGCGCTCATACGCACACGAGGAGGCCTTTCCGATTAAAATGCCTAATTGATGCGGGCAAAGCTAATTTCAGGTAGGCTTCGAAATTCCGAACTACGAGTCCGATATGATGCTGCCATCCGAATCGACGTAGCAAAGGGCAATACTTTTCATTACCGATGCTCACATACATGTCATGTCTCTAATATTCCAAAGATATTTCTATGCAATCCTACTTAGATTCCGAAATTCTTCTTCTTTATGTTTTTTATTTTTATTTTTCTTTTTTTTCTTTTCTGTTTCTTATCAAAGATCATAATACATCTTCAACTCGAATGTTTTGTAACATTTATTGAAATGAAATAGGAGTAATAAAAAAAAAAATAAAATTAAAGTGAATACAATATTACGTAAAACTTCTAATATGAACATAATATCCTATATGCAAACGATAATTTATATACGACAAACATTAATCTTCAGACGTTAGGTAGGAATTAATTAAAAGAAGACAAAAAGAAAAAAGGACGTACGAGAGAAGAGTACTTACGTGACATTAAAATTATACATTGTAAAGAATTAAAGGGGGAGAGGAATGAAAAAGTTATGACAATGTTGCAATGTCTCTTTTTTTTTTTTTTTTTCTTTTTCTTTATTTTATTTTATTTTTTCTTTGTCTTTTTCTCTGTTTCTGTTTCTGTTTCTGTTTCTGCTTTTTTTTTTCCACGTTTCGTTATCTTCTACCTTTTTAATGAAAATATTTTCACGTCGAATGTAATTGCGACTGGTTAAGTTTTTTTCTTTTCTATTTGTTTCTTTTTTTTTTTTTTTTACATCGAGAAAACATGTAATTAACATTATGCAAATCAGCGAACGACGAGCATATCAGATAGTCGTAATAACGTTCGTGTGTCAGTCTAATGCTAGGATAGGTACAGGTTAGTATAATATATTTTATAGATGAAGTTTATAAATTATTCCATGTATTTTCTATTTGATTAAGTAGCTATTAACCGAATTAGATACTTGATTTCAACGTATCCTAAATTATTCATATATTTACATCTATTCATACGATAATACGTTCAATTTGTTATTAATATTTTATAAACTTTATCGTGAAATAACAAAAAAGAATCAAATTTATTTTCTTGTACAAATTTAATTCGACGAATGAAAAAGATCGATTTTGAAAAGTAAAAAGAAAAACAAAAACAAAAACAAAAAGAAAAGCAGCAGATAAAATAGATCTAGTTTGGAAATCTGGGTGTCCACTTGCGATGAAAAAGAAAAAGAAGAAGAAGAAGAAGAAAAAGAATTAGAAAGATCGTATTCGCGTTGAAAAGTGTGTGTATACGCATAAAGTGAAAAATAGAAAGAGAAGAGATGTAACGTGTAGATCGCACGCGGTCGTAGGGGGTAGGTTGAGAGGGGGGGTGGGTAGAGCTCGAGAAAGGGTGGCACGAAAAAAATTTAATCTTCCCTCGCATTATCCTTTTTGGCAATAACGGCTTTGCCTCCCCGGATCGTCCTCGTTCAACCCCGTACGACTACCAACTACTACCTACTCTTACTCCATGTTCCATTTGCTTCCTCTCTCTCTCTCTCTCTCTCTTTCGAAAGTTCGTGCGACGAGGAGAGGAAGGAAGCTCGCCGACGCGCCGGCACAGAGAAAAAAGTCGCGAAACAGTAAATCGTGAATTGTAGTAACCGAGCGCCATTCATCCTGATACACCGGATGTGACTACATATTTCCTTCGTTCCGTTTAAATTAGTGTTTTTGCCGTACGGCCTTGATTGTGTTTTCGCGCACACCTCCACCACCTACATCTCTCCTCTCTTCCACCTCTTCTTCCTTCTATATTTCTCCTCCCCCTATGTACGCTCGAACACACACATATACATATCTACACATACTCTCTATAGTTTTCATTCTATTTCTTTCTTTCTTTCTTTCTTTCTTTCTTCCTTCCTTTATTACTCTTACACGTGAACGTAAACGCGTGACAGTGTAAACGAAGTTAGGATACTCTCTCTCTCTCTCTCTCTCTCTCTCTCTCTCTCTCTCTCTCGTATACTTTAGAAAGGAAGAGGAGATCGATTCTCTACGTTGATGAACGCATAACGGCCCGGAGAGCACGTAAACGATATATCAGAAACATCATTCCGATGAACGAAGGTACGGCCAGCCGATATGGACCGCGCCAAAATTGAAAAGTTTGATGTATTAAAATGCACCGTCGCGTTCCTACTCACGCGTTACAAGACATATGTGTGCATGTATTTATGTGTGTGAGAGATACTACTCGTTCGTTCTCACGCGTTTCGAGTCGAGTCGAGTCGAGTCGAGTCGAGTCGTGTCGAAGTAGTTTTCTTCATCTCGCGACACACGTTCGTAAGTCGATTATCGAGTTGTCAAATAGCGTGATGAACAGACGAAAGATTCCATGATTTCAGGATATTACAATCCTTTTCTTCTTTTCTTTTTCACCCTCTCTTTTTTTTTTTACGTCCTTTTCTTCTTTCCCTTCTATTTTTTGCTCGTTTCATAATTCTTTTTTATTCTTTTTCTTCAAATTTATTCGAAACACACACCGAACATCTTTCAGTTTAGCAAGACTCACGTTTTTTCGTTAGACATTATCGGCTTATCGCTAAAACACGTTGAAATTTCAACAAGCTTTTTTAATACATACGTTGTGTATATGTA